CTCTCAGTGTGACAGTGAAGAGATCCCCTTAGCCTCCAACAAATGTTAAAAAGAAAACCAGGGAGGTAGAGGGGAACTTCACATAAATTTGACACATTATTCTTTCTGGATTGGCGCTCTTCCCCACGTCCCATCAGCTGGGGATCTTCTTTTCTTCAGCTTTGCATAAGCCATTCTAAACAATTTTGAATTTGATGAATAACTTGGTTATCTGTTCCTATTGCTAAATGTCTATGGTATTTGTGCTTGGCACCAAATTGTTCATTAATCCAAATACTCCAGCCTTCTGCTGGTTGAGAGAGACACACAGACTCACAGTCAGTTCAAACCCTTGCCTTTTGGTGTGTAAATGGTTCCAAGCCTGGTTCTTCTCCCAGGAACTTACTGGAACGGGCAGAGGTAAACACTGTCTGTTCTCCATGACACGAACCTGGTGCATATTGACACGGATACCCAAGAGCTGCTTTAGGACAAGAGGTGACTAAATGTTTGTAAGGTGTGGTGTCAGGTATGTAGATGTCTTGCTGGGGATTATTACTGAATCATGCTGACACTGAAGCACAAAGCGTCACTCTTCGAACAGCATTTCCACTTGTTCAGCAACATGTTCATTTGGCGAATTCATTTGGAAATGTTACAGTTGAGGCTCCTCAGAGTTAGGTGTGGGCAAAGCCAGCTAATTACACAGCCAACACCAGTTCACTGGATCCCTAGATGTGTGGGATCCCTAGAGCTAGAAGAATACCCGTCAGGTAGCCAAGCCACAATTCTGCAGACAGAGAAGCTGAAGGTCTAGAGATAGGACAGGACACCCAGGGGCTACAGAGCTACAGGTAGAGTCACCCCATATCCTGCGTCTCTTTCTCCATGTCCACTGCAGTGTCTAGAAGTCTCCATCTCAATGCTGATGACAGTTCAGCAGTTCACTTGCTATCACTTTCATGCATGGCTTCGTAGACAGAAGAATGTTCAAGCTTGTAGACCAGATAGTAGGTGTGCCCCTGAGTCTCAGACAAGAGGTTCAAGAGGAAAGTGAGACTTTCACATATGAACCTCCAGTGAAACGCTAGTTTATAATCCCTGCAGGGAGACATGGGAGAAGTATCAAAAGAGAAAATGTGGCTGCTCCAGGTGCTTACTGAGAAGCTCCGGGGTCAAGAAGGAGCGGTGTGAAAATGTGGGAGGGGGAGGTTTAAATCCAAATACCAGGGAAGTGCAACCCCAGAAACTGTTACAGGTCACCAGGAGGGCTCCAGCCCAGCCCAGGCTGAGGCTAGGGGAACGAAAAGGGAGTCCCTGCATCTGTGCACAGCCAAAGGATGGAGTAGGGTTAATAGAGACAGACGACCAAACCTTCCCGTGCCTGGGAAGGAGTTAGTGAGCCCATTCGAGGTGGCATGACAGCCGAGAGTCACCCAGACCTGCTGGTCAACTGGGTGGCTTCTGGCAGGTGACTCTCCTTCTGCAATGGAATTTGGGATAAGTGAGTTGTCTGACATCCCAATGAGAAGGGAGAGCATTAATGTCTTTAAATGGGAATTGAGGTCCCAGAGAGGAGGTAGCTGTGTAAGGCCATCTGGCATCCCTCATATGAACTGTCTTATATTGAATTCTGTCTGTACATCTGTACACCCCCTTTGGCTGGTGAACTCAGTTCTTCTTTGACTGTTTGGCTCCTTCCATGATGGAAGGGTTCGTAGGACTGTGTAGCTGAGAAAGGAAATGAGGTAGGACATACCCACTGGGTAGGGAGCAGACAGGAGATTGCTTGTTGTTTTTGGTAAAAATGATTGGTAGTTAGATGGCTTGATTTGATTGACTGATTGATTTCATATGTGCTTCTGTCTCTCCTGGGACCCTCTGGAGGTAAGGGACCAGTGATAATTAAAGATGCCAGTGATACCTAGTGGCCAAAATGAGCAACTGTCCTTCCATACCATGCCTGTTCCCAAGGGTACACACGCTGGGCCCCCTGCCCACAAAGGGAGCCCAACCATCTAGGAAGAGTCATCTTTAATGACTTTGGTGGAATATACAATAGAAAGTGATATTACCAAGCACTCCTTAAAGTCCCAGTTAACTGGACAAAGCATAACGCACTTTATAAAAAGAGACCATGAAACCAGACCAATCTGCTAGCATTCTTTGAGGAGGTAGAAGCCGGCCTGGAGACGAGGGAGAAACCCAAGGATGAATTATGTTTAGACTTCCAAAATTCCTTTTGACAAAGTCCCCCCCCCCCCAGGGTCATTTATGATAGTATGTTGTTCCAGAGTGGGGGGATCGCCACGGACCAGCATTGTTCACAGAGGCTGGAAACAAACAAACAAAATAGGATAAACAGGTACTTTTCTGGATGATGAATTATAAACAGTGGGGATCCCCAGGGACCACTGGTGCTCCCAGACTTGGTTTAAATGTTCATATTTCATCCGAAGGGGAGAATGCTCTGCCGGTTCCAGGCCTGCAGATGCAATGGAAGCTCTGGAGAGATGGCAAACGGATGGTGATTAACCACGAGACAAGCTTAGGCATTAGCAAGAATATGCATATTAAGCTTTTGCAGGGGCCAGGCTCAGTTAATGCATTTAGAAGAACATCATCCAAATTACCAGAAAATGGACTCTGTCCAGTCTGTTTACAGCCATAAAAGGGATCCTTAGGGGGATCCTGGCCAAATGTTTGTTTGCTAAAGGCCACGCAGGACCAAGTGTTCAGAAGGTATCTGCCAGGAGGTCCAGGCCACAGCCTAGGACAGAAGACGTAAGTGGTCAGATTAGAATAGGAGCTGTTTGTCTGAAGTCAACTACACTTTGCGTTTCTTTGGCAAATGACGTGCCGAGTTCCAAAGCCCAACGTTTCAAGAATTTCTTATTTTCGCAAGGAGTTGGGGAGTTGTCAACAAGCTGGTCGGTTTGGCCAGTAAAGATAGGCTCATCCAGGTCGACACAACCCCATACTGCTCTAATGGGGCTGGATTTCCCTTGATAGTCTCAACCATGCAAAAGCCAACTCTACACTTTTGTGATGTCCAAATTCACAAATTTCTCCTTGTGAGAGAAAAAAAAAAAAAAAGCCCTTGGCATTACCATTCCCAGATTATTTGTTTCTGCCATACAAACAGTTTCTCCTCTCCAAAGGAAGGGCAGTCAGTCCCTCAACAGGAGCTCCTGTGGCCTAATGCCCCTCCCAAATTGTATTATCAGCCTGAGCCTTACAGAGGAAGAAATTGAGGTGTAGAGACCAGAGGTCTTGCTGTTAAAGGTCCACTCTTGGGCCAGGGCAGGGCTGGAAGAGGCTGCTCTCAGGACTTTCCAAGTCACATAGCCTCTCCGCTGTGTTCCAACCCGGAGATGCTACAGCGATGGTGGTGGCGGATGTACTGGTGGCAATGCTAATGGGTCCCTTCTCTCTCATTAGTGGGGACGCTTTAGGCCAACTTGGGGCAGGCGGAATCCAGCAAATGGTGTTAATGGGTGGATCTGGAAGGAAGGTGCCTCTGTGCAGTCTGCGCCTGCCTCAGTGTGCCGGGGCAGCCCTGGGGTTCTGAAGAATACATTGTTGGGTCTGGCCCGAGGATGGGCCAGCTTTGAGAGGAGTGCCATTCGAGACCTGGATTTCAGTGGGCAAACCTGTAGCCTTCTGCCAACCAGGTTTTCAGATGAAGCTCACTTTAGGGGAGTGATCATTAGATGCAGCCTGCCAGACAGCCCAGCTGTGGCCGGCATAGCACAGCTGGCTGGAGACTCAGTGCCCTCTCTTACCTGTTGGGTAGAAGCCGGAATCAGAAGTATTACCCTTTGGGTCGTGTCTTCAGACTTAGTGCTCTCTCCCCTTGCCCAAAGCCTGCTCCTCCAGCGAGACTCCCCCCCTGGCAGGCAGGGGCCCTGCAGCCTGTGTGGCCTCCAGCAAGTGAGGACTGTGATAGTGCTTAAGAGAAACATCTAAATTGGATAAAAACTCAGAGTTCTTTTCCAAAGAACCAGATGAGTAGGCTGGGAAGTGAGGTGAGGGGCCAAGGGAGGAATTGGTTTGACTAAAAACACTTGCTCTGGCTTATTTGTATTCCATCCAAAAGATGTTTCTCAGGGGAAGCTGCCAGCCTCTTAAATATCCCAAGAGCAGCGGCAGAAGAGCTCCAGGACTTTGGGAACCTTGGGGAGGAGACATTTTTCTCCTAGAAAAATAAGCGACCAAGAGAAAGAAGTCATCACCCTGATGTCCCCCCAAGAGCCGCCTTGGTGGCAGCGCCCTGAGCTATTCGAGGACTGCTGTATCCACACCTCCGCGGGGGTGGCAGTGGTCCTGCCTCCCACGGGCTCGCAGGCCCCCCGCTCCCGAGTGCAACCAGGGCAAGTCGCAGGGAAGCGGCGCGGCGCTTGGAGGGGATGCTGGAGGCCGCCGAGCCCTGGCGGGGTGGGTGGCCTGGGTGGCCCGGGGCCACGGCAGGCGGGCGGCCTCGAGGTGCGCTCACGGCCGCGGTCCAGCGAGCCATCCTGCCTAACCCCAGACAACTGGGAAGCGGATTTGCAGCCTCTAGCACCGGGGACCCATCCGAGGGAGAGAAATGAGAGGCTTCGGGACGGCAGTCTAGTTGGAAAGGGGACCTGGGGTTCGTCTCCAAGCACAGTCTCTACTTGGGTTGGATATTTTGGGGAAAAATTAGGAAGCGCCCTGCCTTCCTAGCGCTCTGGAGGGCCGGCGGGCCCGGGGGCTGAGACCTTTCTGCGTGGGGAGCCGCGGCGCGCCCTGGGTCCTGGGGTCCCCGAGGTCCCCTCGGCCAGCACCGCAGCCAGACCGCCTCGGTCCCCGCCCAGCTTCCCCACCCCTCGCGGGCGGCGCTGAAACCCGAGCGCGATGGGGCGGGCGGGCGGCGGCGGGGGTGGCAGGGCCGGGCTGACATTGGAGGGGACCGGGTGATGGATGGCGAGGGCGGGGCGCGCGGGGAGGGGGCGCGCCGGGCGCCCGCGGCCGAGGGGAACCGAGCCGCCCGGCTCGCTGCTCCCGCCGGCGGAGCGAGGCTGCCCTTTCTCCGCAGCGTGATTGATTTTCTGCTTTTCTTTTAAACTCTTCTTCCAGGGAGAGGCTAGTGGTAACAGGCCGAGCTGGATGGATGGGTATGGGGAGAGGGGCAGGACGATCAGCCCTGGGATTCTGGCCGACCCTCGCCTTCCTTCTCTGCAGCTTCCCGGCAGGTAAGGCATTGCCCGGGCGCAGGGACGGCCGGCCGCGGGCCTCCTCGCAACCCTGGGCCGTCTTCCCGCGAGTCAGAGCTGAAGTTCGGGGGCGCCCCCCTGGGGGATCCGGCCTCCCATGTCCACGGGTCTTTGTTTCTCCCACGCCCTGCCGAAGGCGCGGCGGATGCCCTTGGGGACCCAGGGTGGGGACCCTACTCGGGCTGCGTTGAAAAGGGGCAGGACGGAAAGGTCGTTGGGGCCGGAGGCGCCTCCTACCTTCCGAGAAAGGAGGGACCACGGACTCCCTCCTTGGAGGCCCTGGAGGAGGGGGAGCAGGGAGCACTTCCCGGCTCCTCTCCCACCAGTTTGCAAACCTGCCGGGTGCCCGGGGTGGACCCCTGGGCGCCCCTGAGATCCTAGCCAAGTCCCCGACGTCCTCTCCTGCGGGATGCGGTCCCAGCCCCGCGCGCGGAGCCCAACGGCTCGGCTCAAACCAGCCTATATTCCTGCTTGATAACATCCCGCGTCGCCCTGTTTGTTTTCATTGTGTCAGAAAGGGAGAGAATTTCAGAATTAAAGCTGAAAAAGCCCATCTGTTTCCAATGAATCCCCCATAGTTTTTCACAATGTTTTTGGCAGATCGCTGCTTTCAAATTCCTCCGAGCCCGGACCTCTTGTTTTTGTTGGGGGAAGGGAGACCAACTCCACAGAGAAGCATTTGTTCGTTCCCAAACGCTCCAGTTTCTTGACTTTTTTTTTTTTTTTCCCCTTTCAGGGGGAGGGGGAAGGCACGAAACTTAAATCCCTGCTCTGTTTTCTTTATAATGTTTCATAAAACTTTATTTCATTTTTGCCATATGCTACTCACAGCTGGGAAACACCAGTTAAACCCTTTATACCCTTTTTTTTTTCCCTCTTGCTAAAAATACAAATAAATCCAGTGTCACAGGGCCAAAGGGTTCCCTTCGCAAGGCAGAATCTCCCAGCCGCTCCTATTGTGTTGCCAGGCTCGGAGGTGTCTTCTTGCAAAAATGCGAGTTTGTTTCGCTCCGCAGCCCAACGCGGATGCACAGCCACGGTGCACCACAGGCTTTGCAAGAAAGGACTTGAGTTAGACTGGGATTGGGTTGTTTTGTTTTGCTCCTCAGCCAACTGGGTTTCAGGAACTGGCAGAACTGGGCCATCCAGGCTGCAAATTGTGGCTCCTGGCAGGGGGCACCTTGCAGGCAGAGTGAAGGGCCAGGGATCAGTTTACCTTCCCGCCTCAGCCCTGCTTGGGGTGCCTCTGGCGCCCTCCTGGTCCAGCCCGCCCAGGTCACACTCAGCAGCTGCACCCCCAAGAGCCCCGCAGAGCCCTACCTTGCTCCCAGCCCTGGATTCCCCTGGAGAGGCCCAGGCCACGGACAGGGGGCCTGAGTGTCAGTTCCCCAAAGAGCCCGTGGACCTTCTGGGCCCTTGAAAACCTCCACAGTGGGTCAAGCAGCAAGGAGTCCTATTCCCCCACCACCACCACCCCCTTTTTTAAAAGGCAGTTTCTCCGAGACAGAGGGGTCTGGCTGAAATGGCTGATTTCATTCGCTCCCAAGAACTCAAAAAAGAAAATTAAAAAATGACCCTCTCCTCCAAAAAGAAGCCCCCCTTTTGGAGAGCAGGAGTTTACATGTGTGTGCATCTCGGTTTGGTCTAGATAAAGATCCAGCCCGTTGGAAGTTTTATCAGATGGGTTGATAAATGGCTTTTGTCCCTTGGCTGCCATGGGGGATGTGATCTCAGCTCCAAGCTGAAATTGAGAAGGGGGGCTTAGAGGCCCTTAAAACAACACCTTCCTGCTCTTAAAGTGGCAGCGCTTGTTAACTTCTTGGGCCAGAGAGGGAAGAAGGGCTGACAGAGGTAGTCAGAGGCAGGAGGGAGCTGTGGGGGCTACTGGTGGTATTTTTGTTGTTGTTTTTTTATTATTTTATTTCCCCATCTTTAAAACTTTTAAAGTATCCCCCATAGTCTGGGGAAGGCTGGTGGGTTATGTAATTCACCACCCGAATTCCATCACTTTTGTTTCCAAGAAGCCCATTTCTTTTTGGCTTCAAGGCTGGTAACTCAAACCTGGCAGATCGAGCAGATAGCCGCGGCACTGTCATGCCAACTGGCTAATGTTTCTTCTAATTTGAGGCCTTAACAGCTGCATTTAGTCAAAATTGCCCACCTCACTGAAAACCGAGCCTTCGGGATCCCCAAACTCGATACACTGGGGGCTCCGAAAAGTCGTGTGCCCGAGAAACCCGGGTCAAAAGACAGTTTGTGAAGGAAGAGATGGAACGGGCCATTTCAGCCCCAGAGAGGTGGACTGTCATATCCTTGGATGCACTGGCGGAGGGGCCGAGAGCAGGGTGGACGTTAGAGGAAAACAGGGGCTCTGGCAAGGGGGAGGCGCAAGGACACTCAGCGACCCTTGTGCCGTGGCCTCTGCCACTGCAAACAGGTGGACCGCGGCCGCGGTGGCCCCGTGAAAGCATAGGTTTGTTCGACGCGAGTCGGCTTGAACGACTGCCAGGAGCAAACCCAGGGGAGTGCAAATTAAATTGGACGTAGTTATGTGGAGAAAGACTCCTTAACTTCTGCTAGACTGAGCAGATTTGTCATTCAAGTGTGTTTACGTGGACTTGGTCCACGTTGATGGCGCACCTACTGTGTTCCTGACTTGAGTGGCACTCGGGGCCTCGTCAGAGCTAGGCTGGCATCTGCCATCAGGTAAAGGGAAGGGGTCTCTGCGGTGTCCCTCAGGCTGTGAGGGTGTCTGTTTGGCCAATGCTGTGTCTTTAGTGGATGCACAGAGTAGCCACGTCTAGCCGGGGAAGTGGGGGGCAGAGAGGAGGGCAGAAAAGGCTCCTAAGAACAGTCTTCCACAAACAGTATCCTCTTCAAAATGCAATGAAGAGATACTTTTAAAACTTTGAAAGCATTGGCACTTTGAACACAGATTTCTGAGGAACCCATCCAAGGCATGTGCTCTCGACGTGGCTGGCGTGCCTCCTGTAACCACATATGGCCCTTCTGCTCCAGCATGGTGGCTCTCACAGGGTGGGCCCGGGACCAGCCCCATCTGTCCCCTGGGGACTTGTTAGAAATGTAGGTTCTGGGCCCACCCCAGACCTGCTAAAGCAGATACTCGGGTGGGACCCTGCAGGCCATAGCTTAACAGGCCCTCTGGGGTGTCCTGGTGCACGCCCAACGGCGAAGACCACTGTTCTAGGACTTACGTCCTGCAGCCTTTCGGTTCTTGTCATTTTTCGCTCTTTACTTTTAAAGTGCAGCTGTTTTGAAAATGCCAGTCTTCGATGGGGAGACCGAGGCCCTCTGCAGGGTATGCGTGCGCCTGTGCTATCGCTGAGATGAGGGTATTTCTCTCAGAGCTGTTCAGGAATGCAAGCGCATCAACCTGCCTGCCGCATCACTGCCCTCCCAGTAGGACTGTGTGTCCCAAAGGGAGAGAATGAAATGATGTTCAGATGCAAGAGCCAAATGGCAGCAGGACCACCTGAGGGGCTGGTGGTGACGCAGCAGGTCTGCAGGGTAGGGCCTTGCCTCCCAGGGAGAGTGGGGTGTAAAATACACAGACAGCGGCTCCTTCTCCTTCGGCCTGAGGGTGAATAGGGGAGGGAGGGAAGGATGTCCAGTCTTCTGGGCAACCTCTCTGCAAGGTTGGGGAAATTGCGAGCAGTCACTCCAAAGCTCCAAGGAGAACTGGAGAGAGGAGGTCCATGCACATTCCATGCACATTCCTGTGGAGGTGAGACATTGGGGTAGGACCAGTTTACATTTGGGGGGCATGTGGCTCCTGCTAAAAATCCTCTCTGCGGTGAAAAGTGCAAGGCACATACACCACCACTGCCCCCGACAGAATGAGGCTAGAGAACCCCGACTTCATGCTTTGGTCGAACGAAGAGGTAGCACGTGCTGGTTTCAACTCAGTATCATGTGCTTGGCTCAGTGCAACCTGCCAAGGATTGAAGGCCCTGTTTCTTCTGGAGTGACCAGCCCATCTGAGTTTACCCAGGACTTCCCTGGTTTAAAATCTGCAAGTCTCTCTGTGCTTAGAAGCCATCTCTGTCCTGGGCACACCCGGGTGGTTGGTCACCCAAGATTCCTCCCCTCCTGTCCCCTGGACTAGTACCTGCCTGTGCCTACTGGGGACCCCACGGCCCAGGCCTAGGTGTGAAGTGGGCCTCTCCGCTCAGTGCGGTCACTAGGCTGGGCCTCCTTCCTCGCCCTTTCCTGCCCGTTCTCATTGTCACTTTGCGACAAGCAGCCGCCCAGCCCCGGGACCTGCTTTCTCTTACCCCCGCCCTCACCACGTTGCCAAATGAACTGCGGTCTTTATTCCAAAAAACTTTTTTTCTGATCATAAAAACAATACTCATTTTTAAACCTAAAGGCTGAAAATGATAAGAGGATGTAAACAACCCAAATTCTACCCTCTCACAGACAACCGCCACTAATGGACATGCATGAAAGTTCTCCGAGACATAATACCTTTCTATCATTCTCTCCCAGGGATGGTCATCTGCAGGAGAACAGTTGTTGAGGCTCTTTCATTTACTGAGTGGTTGCTCTGCTAAATGCTTTAAATGCGTCACCCCATCAGATCATCACACCTTCCTCCTGAGCATCATCATTCCCACTGAGGGATGAAGAGACAGAGGGTCAGAGTGGCTGCCTGATAGTACACAGCTAGTTAGCAGCAGAGCCAGCGGTAGAAAGAACCCAGACCCCGGCCCTTTCCGATGCAGCTGATTTTGCATAAACACACTTGGTAAATTTGCTATGTAGCATATTAGACTTTGTACTATGAACATACAAAGGTGTTTAAGGTGGGGGACAGTTAAGAAACAAACTTTGGAGGTAGGATTAGGTAGCAGAATGAGGAGTGGGCCCGTTTTCCATGGATCCAGCATTCTAGCCACCTCCTGCGACTCCTCTTCGCTCCCTTTCCATCCCCGGCTTAGCATCCCAAAGAAGATGCC